TTTTTTTTGTTTTTTGTTATTTCAGATTATGAATCTCTGAGAATTGGTGGGCTGGTTTTTGCAGTGGTGCTGTTCTTCCTGGGCATCGCAATCATTGTCAGTAAGTGCATGGCCGTCTAAAGACACAGCAAGAGTGCAAATGTGTAAACGCGAAAGTGTAAGCGGATTGTATTCCCTGTGTGCGCAAACTCACCTCACAGCCCCCCTGTTTCTCTCAGAGGTCTCGAAGGGAGCCACACAGATGCTTGTGGTGCAGCCTCAACACATTTATGCTTCTTGCATCACAGCAATTTGGTCTTTATATCTGAAGTCAGTGTCTTTCCAAGGGTCCTCCTCCTACCTGCCAGCACATGCTGCTGTTGCCACTGGGAGCCCTGAAACCAAAACCTGCCAATAAATTATTCAGTGGCAGTCACATTGCTTGGCCACACTCTCTGCCTGCCTCTGTTAGTAAAAAGCAGAGTGGGCTTCCAAGTGCACTTTGTGAAGGTTTTAGTATTAGTATTTAGTATATGAGTTATGAAATTATACATAGAAATAGCAGTCAATGATGGGTCCTTTAAACAGAGAGGCTAACCAAAGAAGTTTATGCCATTTGTTTAAGAAAAGTACAGATTTTTTTTAATTGAATAGAAAATAAAATCTTCAATGACAATTCAGAATATACATAAAATGCACCTATACATATGTGTGTGTGTGTGTGTGTATATATATATATATATATAGAGAGAGAGAGAGATATAGATATATACATAAATATACACATATATAGATAGATATATAATTTGTCAGAATTATTGAATAAAAGATAGGTTTCAAGGCACTCACAGTTTGCGATACGTAGGTCACAGGCTTAATAATTTTTCAGATATTTTCTAAGTGCTGCAGCTTGACAGAAAGAGATTTAAGAAGGATAATAAAAAACTGTATCATCTCATCTCTGCCTCATTGAGATTAAAAGCAAACTGATCGCTAAATTACAATTTATTTATTTTTTAAAGCGAGCTGAGCACTCTTGGCTTGCACGTACCATGCACCACTAATTCTACTAGCCAGAAGTTATCCAGCGCACCGCCACATGTATTTTTAGTTAAGCAACCAAATATTTGGGGGAATTTTGGTGGATGAATATAGTCTTGGGTTCAGTCCAAGTAGTTGGAAGCACATAAGGCCTTCCTAGGCTTGCAGCCCAGACGTGCTTATGAAAATGAGCTTGAAAGCGAATTAATGTATCTATCAAGGCTTGGAGCAGTCTCCCTCTTTTAATACTTAAGGGTACAAAGCTGACTGCTGTGTTTGTATAAATTCTCTTATCGTTTGCTTCTGTGCTTTTTGTAGAAAAGCATAGTGTTGTTGATACCAGCCCTGTGTAATTCTTTTACTTGTGATTCTGTCTAATTTTTCTTTTTTTTTAAATAACAGGCCGAAAGTGTACCTGTTCAAAGAGAGACAACCCAAGGTAAGTAAACAAACATTTTTCATTCTGGATGCACACGATCAGTTTTTTCAAATGTAATTCTGTTTTGTTATGTTTTCAGACCCAGGGGTCCTGATGGGGAACCAGGTGTTCGAAGAGGTAAATGATTCCTTTCTTATATAATGATTTTTCTTTTTCTTTTTTTTTCCCCACTGACCATGTAGTAACATAAGACTCTTTCCACAGTTTAACAGACATAGATGCACAACTGGTAAGTATCCTGCAAATCATGTGTGAATCACCTTTAAAGTGAAGCTCAAAAATAAATAATTTCTGATAAGTTGAACTGAATCCTTTACCTCTTCTGCAGTTTTGCTGAATGTTGCCATTAGGTGGCAGCAAATACTACGTCAGCGGCAGACAATCTTTCCATGAACACATGAAGCTATCTACAGTTACATAATGTTACAGTTCTCCTTTTTTTATGTTTTTATCTCCTTTCCATGGTAGTAGATATTGTGCCAACTTTATATGATGGCGATAGTGTTGTTATCGTTTGTATTTTTGAGATTTTCCACTTCGATGCAGGATAATAAAGCAATTAAATGTTTGACACGATGTTTTACGTTTTTATGCGTGTTTATTTAATTTGGCGCCACTGCAAATTTAAACCAGTGAACTGTACTGTACCACACCGCACCCCTGATTCTGCTGACACTGCAGCCAGCTCAGTTACACATGCAGTAGTAACAACCAGCAGTGTGTGCAGAGTGATTTATGCCGCGTTTTGCAGCTTTTGGAGTTTTTTCTTTTTCTTTTTGAAAAAAAGGCTTTAATTTTGCCTGTTTCTGTGTTCAGTGCTGTTTATTGGCAGATTTTGTACCAGTATGAGTCTGCCAGCCTCAGTGAACATAAAAGCTGCAGATGTAGGCTGTTTTTTTTT